AACGTCCCTGGGACGGCTGCTGCTCGTCGCACACAGAGGCCAAGTGTCTAAGTCAAGGAGCAGGCGCGCCTGCCTCGCGGCCTCGCCCGCGTGCGCTGTACCCGCAGCCCAGAGGCCCAGAGGCGGGTGACCTGCGCGCGGCCTGCGCTTCGCTCCCGGCCTTACCAGTGGCGCCGGGATGCTGCCGTGGGACGAGCTTGCTGCCGGCCGCCTCTTTCCGGCTCTCGGGAGAGTCTGTGAACTCGACCTTTTTGATTTCGGAGTCTTTGGAGAAGAGGCATTCAACGGCCTCCGGCTGCACGCCTGGGCCGAGCGCGCCCGCCCCGCAAGCGGGCCGACAGACGCCCCGGACCGCGGTGGCAAGAAGCGAGGGCGTTGGGAGTCGGGGTGGGGGGCAGGCGGGACGAAGACGAGAAAGAGGGACAAAGAGCAAAGACCCGGTTAGAGGAGAGGGCGGAGGGCACTCCCGTCTCCCGGACCCGCTGGCAGCCCGGCGCAGGGCGGCACACGCTCTCCGCGCCTCCCCGGCTGCCAGCGGCTCCCCCAGAGGCAGGGGTAGGCCCCGGGCGTCAGGACGCGGCGAGCGGCTCCCTCCTTCCCCATATCCCCGCTTCCTCCCCCCGGGAGAGGCTGCGGGTGTCCCGCTTCTGATTCCCTTTCTGCCCGGCTGGTCCTTCCGGGAAGAGCCCGTCGCCGCTGCCTCGCCAAGGCACCGGTGCCCTCTGGCGGCCCTCGCTTGGTGCGGTCTCCCGTCGGGTCACCCGGGCAGGAGAGGCGGGTTCTTACCTAGTTGCACACACGCCGACACTAGTTTGCGGCAGTTGGTCTCCATTCCCCGTTGTCTGCAAAATAAAAGAGAAGCAGGGCTGAGAGAGGCGGCGGTCGCCGAGCGTGCCGCGCTCAGCGGACGCTACCTGGAGGGCGGACAACTTCAAAGTCGCTCTAAGTGCCCACTCTGGGTCGGGCTTCTGGCGTGCTTCTCACCTCACACCCACCCTGGCCCCTGGTCCCGGGCAACGGTTGTGTACCAAGAGGGGGATCTCCCCCCAGCACTGCGGTGAATGCGCCCAGGCGCTCTTGACGGACGACCCCCCCTCCCCCCGCCGTGTCCTGGGGTAACTTAGGCTATGGAACTACTCGCAAGGTGTTTATGTCAGGGGTTAAGAGCCCGTCCGAACACGGGGGCAACCTTAGCAGGTACAGAATTTGGGGGTGAGTGGAGGGGACTTTTCTATTTAAGAAGTTGCGTGGAAGGCCACCATTCAGCACAGGGCTTTTCGTCAGTAGGCGCTCAGTAAACATCTGCAGAATACCAGACTCCACTTGTACCTGTCCTAGACAGCAGTTTTCCTCGATTTTCTGTAATTCTGAAATCAACGGGACTCTTAAGGCGCTCGGCCTAGGGTACTCCAGGAGCGAGCGGGCTTCGGGCCTCTCATCCATCAGAAGCCACTTTTCCATATTTAGCCACACTTTTCCCTGGAGATACTCACCCGATCATTTCTTTACCCTAAACTAAGATTTAAGATCGAAGAGGAGGGAAACGAAGTGGACTGACAAGAGAACGGGGCAAACGTCCGGAAGGTTTTCCACCCACTGCGGACGTAGGAACAACTCTCAGAAAACTGCTACCCCGATTCAACCCCGGCAAACCAAATCTTTTTCACATTTCCAACCGCAACGCAGCGAGCCAAGCGTTTAACGCGCGCCCCCTTTTTTCCGCCACAGGCAAACCGGGAGAGGTGGGTGGCGAGAGGCTCTGCCCGGGTGGGTGGAAGAGCCGCGGGCGGCTTTAAAGACAGAAGAAAAGAAAGGAGGTCTCGGGCTCCCCAGGCCCTGTGGATCTCGGTGCCTGCCCCTCTCCACGCTAACCAGGGTATGCCGGCGGCGGGAGGGCCCACCTCGCTGTGGTCCAGGGCTGAGGGTAGGAGCGGGCGTTGCCCCTTTGGCGCAAGAGCAGAGGCGGGACAGGGCGCTGCGGATCTGGCTCTAGTCTGGGTCGTATTTCCCCGCTCCTTGGCCTCTGCTGGAGCGAGCCGGGCCCCGGGAGCCTCTGGCCAAGGTCGCAGCTTAGAGGAGGGGCTGCCCCGCGCCGGGGCGTGGGTATCCAAGGGTTCCCCCCAACTCGCTAGCTGGGACGTGGGCGGGGGCTCTGCGGATCCTTGCAGGCCCGGGGGCCCAGAAGTAGCAGTTTGGCGGCTCCAGATTTAGTGATTCTGCAGTAAAATCACAGGATTAGTCCCTGATTGAGATGTCTGTTCGTGAGATATTACAAAATTCATTATCACAGCTTTCTACTAACTCGATATGAAGTAACACAGATGGGATTTTATTAGTCCAGACTTCAAATGTTTACTTATGATAATTTCAGGGGAAATTTGCATGTCATCATCAATTCGATAATCTTTTTTTTTTTTTAAACATCTGAACTGGCTGCATTATTAGCGGGTAGCCGAAGCATTGCAGATGGTAACTGCAAATAATTTTTATTTTTTTAAGAAATGAAATATACAAAAGAAAAAGATGGGGTCGCTCAATATAAAGTCAGTCAATTATTACACATTCTCCCCCCTACTCCCAAGCTTCACTGCTGAAGACCAAACAAAGCAATACAAAACAAATCAAGAACTCTGCTCTAAGGACTGGAAAGAAGGTCAAGGCGTGTTCCTTAGCTCACTCCTAATGTCCTTGTGAGTTGGGGATTTGTTTTGCAGTCAAAATGAGCCCCAAGACCAGCTTTTTTTTTTTTTTTTGCTTCATATAAATTACCAGGCCTACTAGATGAACTGAATCTAAGTAACTGAGGAAGATAGTTTTTAAAAATAACCTCCAATTCCCGCCTGCTGATCCTTAAACTTGCCCTGTCAAGTAAGACAAGTCTTACTAGACAAATTTGGCTGCAGGATTTAGGGACTAGCTTCCACCACTAATCTCACAAATTAAGATGTGCAACTTTTCTTGATGGGAAGTTGTTCTCACCCCAAAAGTTCAAGTCCTGGTCTGAACGTGTATGCCAAGCAATCTTGTTTTGGCTAACTTGAGTTTTCTATTGTGAGTAGGCTAAAAAGCACAACATAGTTAATGAAGCATACTGAACCACACTGGCCAAGGTAGGCCGTCAAAGCCTGAGAAATAAAACAATTTTCTTAAAAATAATTTCTGACGATTGCCATAAGAGGAAATCACAGGAAAAAATATAGTTCTAATAATTCCAAAACCTTTCACTTTCCCCCCCTTTCCATTTATTGTGTTACCCCATAACAAAATCTTCAGTGGAAAGTTTAAAAATAAACAGCACAAGAACATATGTTTTATATGAACTAAATTGGGGAGATTAGCCACTAAATTAATTTGCAGTGGGTAATCGGTTAAGGAAATTAAAATGCTGCTTAACAATTCTGTATTTTACCAGTTTAAGCCTTCTTTTAAACCAATTAATATTGATGCTTTAGGAACACTTGAAGACAAACATGCTCAACTTGAGGAACAAAGCACCTGAATAATTTAAGTGTAGTTTTGCTGAGGTAAAGTAAAACATTCTGTAAATGAAGTAGCTATTTAATTTTTAGGGAATGTTTGCTGATTAAAACTGTGTATGCTTATTTTGTGTTTCACCAGTAAAAATCCTCAATCTCTTTTGCCTCCTTGCTTTGTCTCCTTGATATAATTGGTATTTGAATGTTAGATAAATTTCTTCCAAACTTACATGAAAACCACCTTTAATTTTTATTAATGGCCTAAAAACTGCAAGGAAATCTCTGTAAATCAGATTATTTTTCATAAAAATATTTTAGAATATATGAACGCCTGTGTTATTTTAATTCATAATAGTAAAAGGCTTTTTTTCCCACTGAGTTTACTTTAGTAAGACATAATACACACAAAGGAGTAAAAATCATACTACCCTCTCATGGTTCGATTTCTGAATTACTTAGGAAAGTCAAGTCATTGAAAAGAGAACCGTATTTCTCAGATTTAGAATCATATTTTTCTTTTCTTACTCGACAGTTGGAAAATAGTCCTCTCCTCTGTACCCATTTAAAATGTATCTCCTGAAGTGCAAGATTGGAGTTGACTGGTGATCAATTTAAAGGATTTATAATCCGAAGTAATTGTGTGAGCCTGGCATCCAGGCCTGGCTCCCAGGTAATTCGCTTGGGCCTGAGAGGTCACTGACTGCCAGTTAAGATGGAATCTTTGCTCCAATTGGTAACAATGGGAAGGGGGCTAATCTTCCAGTAGCTGAAACTTTGTACCCTGCCCTTTATCTTGAGAATGCTAATCCTCAGCCTGAGGATTTGTCCCTGCAGTGTTGGCACCGAGATTTAAGGGAAGATACCTCGTTTTAAATGCCAGCCATGGTCTCGCTTCCCACTCGACTTCAGCAACTCCATAGATTGTGAGTGTCTGCGACTGGAGACGAGAGGAGCAGGGCTTCGCGAGGTCTGTTTGCCAACTGAGTTACTTCGAGGGGGAAAGGCAGCCTCAAGAACCACAAATCACCTACGGTGAAGATTCTCCAAAGTGGAACAAATTTCCAAACTCGCATTATCTCACATCCCTGCGGAGAGAGACGGCCTCCACTTACCGGCTACCGGGAGAGAGCTGCTGTCTCCGCGTCCCACCGCCTCCCGGGGAGATTTCCAGCAAGCCGAGGCGCAGGCTGCACCGCAAGCGCCGGAAAGCCTAGCCCGAGAGCACTGCGGGGCTCCCGAGGGTGCCAAGCTCCGAGGGAGTCCACGGGTGCGCGGTGGCCGCCGCAATCTAGCCGTCACTGGCAGTTTCTTTCTGCTCCTCTCCAGCTTTCTCGCTCTGCCTCGCACTCTCTCTCCCCTCCCTCGCTCTCATCCCTCTCTCTTCCCTCAGCTCGGTCTCCGTGTGGGGAGTGACGTGACGTCAGCAGAGATTCCACCAAACTCCACTGCACAGTGGCGGGCGGGCGGGCGGCCGAGCCCGGCTGCGCGGCGGGCGTTCCAGGGGCGAGCGCCGCGTCCGGGCGAGCGCGGGGGGAGCGAGCAGGGGCGACGAGAAGCGAGGCGGGGCAGGGAGGTGAGGCCGGCAGGCCAGAGACTCGGGAGCCACAGGAAGAGCCCAGAGAGCGAAAGCGGGTTTCGGGGACCGGGCAGGGCGCAGAGCCGAGCAGCCGAGCCGCAGGCGCAAGCACTCCCACTGTGGCTAGGACGATAGGAGGGGAGGCCGGGATGCAGAAGAGAAAAGGAATCTGCGCCGAACCGGGAGCTCTAATAAATCAGAGGTGGGGTGGGGTGGGGTGGGGTGGGGGCGGGGGGGGAGACCAGGGCGTCCGGGAGACTGAAATGGACTCTTGTGGAGCAAACCAGGACGGAGAGGGAGGAAGAGACAGGGAAAGTGGCCCAAGGAACGGAACAAAGGGCTGTGTGCACGGGTTTTGTTTGGGGCGAGGCATGTAGGGGTGAGTGTGAGAGTGCCTGTTTGTGACCTCCTTTCAGGCCTGCAGGGTCGAGAGGCGAGTTCAGAGACAGGAGAGACTGCGGAGTGGGGGTGGTGGTGCAGTGAGGGACGCACTGGAGGCTGGAGTGAAAGTAGGCGGAGTGGGGGTGAGAGAGGATGAGTGAGAAGAAATCTGGAAAAGTGGGGCGAGCCGTGGGGGGGAGGCAGGGGGGGAAGAGGGTTGGGAGGGCGACAGCCGAGACTGAGCGGGGCTCGTCAGCCGGGGAAGGCCCAGATGCTTGGCCCAGCACCGCCGGCCGGGACACCGCGCCCGAGGTCAAGGCGGGTGGACCAAGCACGCTGCACCCGCTGTCCGCGCGCAGGTGGGCACGGTCGCGCACTGACCAGTGTAGACGAGAGGATTGCTCTGGACAAGGTTCGGGCGTTCATAGAGTCTAGAATTTCCTCTGCTTTACCTACACTCAACAAGTTCACCCCGGGTCACGGATATCTCATTTTTTAAAATGACGAGGTTAAGGTTCCTGGCGAGCATGGTATTAAATTGCAAGGGATGGTGGTGGGGGTGGGAGGGAAAGCTACCCTCAAACCCACATTTGCTCCTAAAAATCGAAGAGCACGTGAAGTTAGAGGAGTCATTTTCACTCGAAAAGTGTGTCTTGCTTCTAAACCCTGATTTTCCGATGTCTTGACTGGAGCAAGGCGTGTAGTTTGGTAGCGAGCAGGGTGGTTTTGTTCTGTCCTGCCGTTGGGTGTAAGGACTATAAATATGATTCGTCTCGAAGACCAGGTGTGAAGGTTTCTGCCAGGCTTATTAGAAAAAGTTTTTAAAATTTCAAGGGCGTCCTGTTAATGTATGTTTTTGTAAATCGTCGGAAAGCAGTCATAGCTTCCGGCTTGGTTTTCCCATCAATACTAATTTCTGCATAGGAACAAAACTTGCCCAGGCCCGCCATGAAAAAGCCCTCCCCTTTGGTCCTCAATAAAGTTCCTTCTAAAAGTTGTATTGCTCGTCCTCAATCAGGATACCAATCCTCTCAGTTTCAGGGAAATAAATAACTTGTTGAGAGAACATGTGCGAAATACATACATTTTAAAATGCTTGGCATTTAGAATAACCCAGGTCACCCTATAGGTGCTGGGCTTTCCCTACATTTGGGGGCTGTCTGGAACGTGTTATGTGTTTTCTTGAATTACTCCGTGTTTTGAATTCATTTGAATTAGCAGTAAAAACAGGCAAACAAACTTGCTCAATTTGTTTTGAGTGCTAAATCCCTTTACTTTGAAATAGCTAACAGTCGACAGATGGACTCATTTTATGGAAAGGGTTCGCCTCTTCAGCCACGAAGAAAACCGACTGAGAGATCTACATTTTAAAGCCATTTCTAACCTCTAGGTAACATCCATGAAAACTCAAGCTTTCTGTCTTTACCCGTTGGAGATTCAAGACAGTTTTATTTAAAGGGAGAGAAAAAGAGGTGGAAATACCCACGTGCTGTTTTTATTTTTGTTTCCCCTCTGTTCCTGAGAATTTTTATTTCTGGTTTTTGAAACCTTGCTGAATCGAGAAAATCAAACTTCTTCAACAAGTTCCACAACCGAAATCTAAAGTCACTGCAAACTAGAGAATGCAGCCTGAAAAAGACATTTTCATCTGTATCCATCAACGATTTCTGCTGTCTCCCCACTCCCCCGAGTAATGGGTTAATGTCGTCCCCCCCTTTTTTTTCTTTTCATTTTATAGAGATTAAGAGTCGCTTCTAGCAGAACGACCTCCCTTCATCTGGTGGCGGGGATGAAGAATCTCATGGAAAAGTGGGAAAAGAGTGAGAAAAATCAGAGACAGGAAGATTCAGAGACTTGCAGAGAGACAAGGGAAAGAGAAAGGGCCAGCGCTGGAGAGACGCGCAGATAAACGCGTGCAACACCCCCGCCCCCCCTTTCAAGATTCGGAGGTTTGCAAACCCGGGCTGGGATGGAGAGGCTCCGGGAAGCTCACGTTCCCCTCCTCACCCCCCCCCCTTCTGTCTGGAGTCTCGTCCACCAGGGGCTGGTTAACCCCAATCCCGGCCGCCTCAGACATCGCGCTGAGCTTTTGGGTCTTCGCGTCGCCCAGCGCCAGTGCAGCTGAAGTGAGCAGCTGGTGGGAAATGCTAATGGCTCCTGGAGAAATAGAAGATACAGAATGATTCTCATTCCCTCCTCGAGTGTGTGGAAGAAGCTGGACATACGTTTCACGCTCCTAATCCTTCTTTTACATTTTTAGTCATACTCCTATTAAACAACTAATTAATGCTCAGAACCACTAGGGAATACATTAGGCATGCAGCGGAGAGGCAGGGTGCTGGGGGGCTACAAACCACCGAGGTGATTTAAGACACGGATTTCAGGTTTTTCCCTCGTCAGAGCAGAAATGAAAGAGTGGGCCGTGGCGATTGTATTTAGATTCCGATTACTTCAAATTAGAAGGGGGTGGAGGGAGCGTCCAAGCAAAGCAAGCAATTCCCTGCCCTGCAGATGTAAACAAGATTGTAGCATCAAAGGTACCAGCTCCTTAAGGGCCAGATCGCCTGGGCTGGAACCCGGGGGGTGGGGAGACACTGACCTTATGTATCTGTGAATTTCAAGGATGTTACACTTTTACATAAACAACTCCGGCGGCTCTCCTGGTGATCCCCAGTGAGACTCACTGTTCTAGAATATCTCAAATTTTTGTTGTCCTCCGGAAAAATACCTTCTTTGTACTTTCCCAAATTTTAAACTGTATCTAAAGGTAACAACCTTCCACTAAGCCAGTGCACTAGATAATTTCTCACAGCCGTTTTTTCCTTTTTGGTCATCTAATTTATTGTGTGGGAGGACACGAGGAATTAAACATATGCGTCCCTTCTCCCCCCCCCCCCCCACCCCAAATCAGCCTAAGAACCATGCTGGCTAAATGAATTCATGCACTTTTTATTGAGATTCTGAATTATACCCTTCCCTCTAATATTTTGAAGCAGGTGACAACTGTTAGAACAAGAATCAAGTTGTGAAGCATAGGGACGACATACAATTTTGTGAGCAAAGCGGACAACACCGAGGACTCTCACCCAAAAGTCAGGATTTGGGAAAGGTACAGTATTATCTTAGAGTCCGCCCTGACGGGGTGCGTGCTATCATTTACTTTCTTCACTCCGGATTATGATCTCAACCCTGGCAAGCAATTTCCCCAGTTCCTTATCTGACAACAACCGAGTATGTAAATACCAATGGCCAGAGATGTTTAACTGCCTCAAACATTATTGATTTTGTTGGCGGTTTTAGAATTTCCCTCCCCAGTCCAGGTCCAGTTTCCGAATTGTCCATTCGGGCGCTTTGATCCATACCCTGATGCTACAATACAATAATTGTTTTTTTTTTTTTTTAAGGCATTAAGAGGAACCAATTGATTTGCATATAAATTAAAATTATTATGCGTTGTCTATTCCGGTGTTTTATAATCATTTCGAAATTAGTACTTAACCACTCGAGCTAAAAGAATATATAAATGTCTGTATTGACTCACTAATGAATTACCTAATTAAAACGTCCCGGCGATGTTGGCTCTGGAAAGATTGTTAAACCGAGACATATTAGGGAAGGGATGAATATTGGAAGGGTAACAGACCAGTGTCTGGAACTCAGAACAGAGTTTCCGGTGATTTCGAGCGTTAATTTTGGAGCATTGGTTCTTTCCTGTTGTTAATGATTTTGTGCTTGCTTGTAAATAAAAGAGAGAAGTAACGCTCTGGTGGCCGCGGTCACTCAGGCCCTTTGCTCTGGCAGAGACTGTTCAGCTCTAAGCCAGCAGTGCTAAATCCTGGGAGAAGCTGGACCAGCCCTGGAGGTGCGTGGATCGGCTGGCCGCCTGGCCCGTCTTCCCCTCGCCTCCTGCCTCGTGGGCCGGCCGGCCAGCTGCGGCAGCGCGCTCTCAGCGCGCTCCGAGAGCTGGAAATAGAGCCGGCATTTAATAGATATGCTAACTGAGCACTTACCTTCGTCCTGAGAATATGAATAAAAGGTAGCACTTCTTAAGAGAGGCGGTGCAAAGGCACGCTAGGAGTTCAGAAAAGGCTGGCGGCAGGAAATCTGTAGCCTGGGGGCTCGCCAGCAACCCCTTTCATTTCAAGCACTTATTGATTTGCTGTTGTCATCTTTGGCGACGCAGAAGGACACTTGAAAGAATTTCTGATGGGGCTCTGATCTGAGAAGGGAGGTGACCTGCCCAGGCTCTCACCAAATTCTTAATTACTACAATAACTGCTTTTTTTTTTTTTTTTTTTTTTAATCCTCCACACCACCTCCTTCCCCCTTGGCATCTGAGTTTGCTTATTCTTAACTTTTTAATTATTCAGAAACTTCCTTACCTCTCATTGGCTTCCCTTTTGTAGCGGTTTTCTGTTCGCGTCTCTCCCCACCACCTTTTCCGGGGTAGGGTCTGTATATTGATCCCTCTGACCTTTGGCACATCTGGGCCTTCCAAAATCTCTCAGTCTTTCCAGATTTGAGGTTGGAAGGCTCCACCCTCTCCGCAATGTGCACACAGTCAAAGATAGGAAGACTTACACAGACTGCCCTCCAACTTAGGGGATCTAACAGATGTTGCATTTTCAGTTGTCTCTCGAATCTGAAATGCCTGTCTGCTTTTAACTTGGATACCCCTCTCTTGCCCATTCCTTTTTCAAAGCAGTTTGAACGTGTGTGCAAATGCACCCACAGTGTCTCCACCTACATTCTTTACCAAACTGTGAAGAGAGAGGAAGGAACAAATGAAGTAGGTTAGGATATGGATTGCGTCAGGAATCCGAATCCCCAGTTTTAGGATTCCTCAGTCAGCTCTGGCCATCTTCTGCACTGAATCATTGTAAGTGGGAGGCCCACAGGAACCAAAACAGGTAAGGCCACAGTGAAAAGCAGAATACTTTCAGGATTATTTCATTCAAATGCAAATTATGACTCAGGGGGTTTATTTATAACCATATAGTTTTAGTACAGGCAGAATTGGACAGAAAAGCGTATGTCAGCATGGTTATTGCTATTAGGGAGGATAAATACCTTGGAATCATCAGTGAGAGAAAGACCCCCAAAGTCTACAGTGGTTTTACTTCATTTATAATAGGAATTGAGACACAAACGGCTTTATGTATTTTATGGACTTTGACTAATCTGAATTTCCATCAAAACGTAGCTATACAGAATTTCTTTTAATTTCTGATAGTTTCAGAAAATAAAGACATAGAGACACCCTGAACTGGGTAAAGCCTTTGAGTTCACTGCTCCTGTAAGTTCAGGAGTATAGTATTATTTTTGTTTTAAAGAATCTGTGAGGGTTTGCAAGTCTTTAACAGACTCCAATTAACAGACATCCTTGTTTGAGTCTACATTCATTATAGGAAACGTCCAATTGTTATGCTGATTTTAAAGTGGCCTTTCTGCCAGCATAATCGTGGTTTTCAAAAATTTTTAGTTTAATACACAAAGCTCCCAGTTTTCACTTCAGAGCTTCCATTTCGATTGTTATGAGTAATAATTTGTAGTATTCTATGTATTTCCTTCACTTATCAGGGAAGTGGGTTGGGTTTCATCATCACCATTGTCACAGACAGCAGACTCTAAAAGCTAAGCCCTTTCTTGTGAAATAATATGTACCTGAAATGTTTTTTTCAACATCATCCTATAGATATATCTGCTAAACTTTATTGGGATTTCTAGCAAGAGTTTGTAGCAACTAGAACCTTCTCTCTCACAGAAGGTGTTCTCTCTGATGGGCTTTCACTTCTGGAGGAATGGGTTTTAGACCAAGGAAGGAGGTTGGAGACCTTGGAAGGTGCAGCTGAATCAAGCCAGAATTCAGTGAAGTGACTGATGCAGGGCTCGGATCTCCCATCCTGCGTTTCTCTTTCATTAGAGCATGGACTCCCCCACTGTGGCATCCTGAAGCACTTGACTTGTGTACATCAATAGTCCCCTTGTGGTCTTCACAATGTGGTTTTATAGAAGGCCTCTGGTTCCATGATGTTTTTTAGCTGTAGCTCTCTTACTTATTATCATAATCTCAGTATTTAGGTTTCGGTGTATGGAGGTGAAAGCGGCTGTGTTCATAAGCTGTAAAATACAGAAGAGCTGGGACAAGTGAGGACGCATCACAACTCGAATTCAGATGTGTTTCAATGACTCCGTCTGTGTAAAAAGTCTGGGAATGCTTCCTGCTTTCCCCAGCTTTCTACCCTAAACTTTGTATGGACTATGAGAGAGAGCCTCTGGCTAATGAAGTATGATGAAGTCTGGGTTTAAGAAATATCATTTGTATTGAGAACAAAGTGACCACAAAGTGTAGACATTATGGGTCTGCATGAGTAATAATGATAATAACCAATATTTATAGACTGCTTAGTTTAGCAATTATGCCAAGCAGTTTTGTATTGATCTTCACATTTATTCCTTACACCAACATGAGGAAGTAGGCAATAACCAGATTCCTAGCAGGAATTTTACGAATGGGGGCAATGATGTTGGAGTGATTATGTCATGGGTCCAAGGTCATCTAGCTTCTAACCAGTGGTATGCAGAATGAGTGGGAAATTACTTCAGATCATCTAGGTGGTAAGTGGCAGAGTGGGAATTTGAATCTAGATTTGTCTATCTCCAAATTCCCAAATATTAACTAGTACACTGAACTGGTGGTGAATAGGATTCTAACTACAGGGTTAGAATCCTCTGGGGAGAGAAATATAGAACGTCCATGTGGAACATAAAAAAAAAAAAAAAAGAGGAAATACAGAGATAAGCAAAGCAAATATATTACATGGGGGATGGAGACAGAAATTTTTTACATGCTAGAGAAAAGGAAAAGGGAAATGATTGAATTAAAGAAAACCAAAAAACCAAGCTCTCCTCTTTGTCCTGGGCAGTTCATTCTAGAAAAGAGAAGGTAAATTCAGGAATAGTTCTGAACAATAGGAAAATTAACGCCCACATTGTCAGGTTGACCTAAGCCCAGAATAAGAGCTCAGAAATCTAGTTTACAAGAACTCTTTCCTGGATATTCCAAGGGAGAATAAAATGTTGAAGTGGATGTTTGAGTAGTTTTATCCCCAAACCAAAGAGAAATGCAAGTAAGGATTGAGTAATAAGGACATCCCCATTGTAAATACATGCAAATGGAGTGAGGAGCAGAATGTAAAAAAATCTGTTAGGAATCTGGTTACTGTGCTAAACCACGCTGAACTCAAAGGAGAAATTAAATTTTACCTATCATTACCTACCTGTCTAGTTTGCACCCTAATATCTTTATTACTATAGTAAAGTCATTTGAAAATTTAATAAGATGACTTCTGGTGCTGAAGAAGAAACCTTGGGTGGATGGGTGTCAGGAGACAAAGGGGAAAGATAATGATCCCAAGGACACAGTCTGTTGCTAGCAATGCTGGACCATATACTAGTTGTTGTTGGTAGAATGTGAGCCAGGGGAGAATGCCAGGGAAATTTGTACAAGGTCCCTTTCATCACAGCAGACCAGTTACTGATCCAAAAGGTTGTGCCCAATTCAAGTTTGCCTCATTGTCAAAAAGGATTTACAATTGGCCCATTTTGACCTTTTCCAGAAGGGATAGGTAAATGTAAGTGAATGTGTAGCATCCCAACTTTATGAAGCACAGGAGAAGAAGAAATGGTAGGATCACTACAGTTTCCTGTTTTCTGGCAAAAATTCTTATTCCTTTGTGATGTGAGTAGAGTAAGGTGGCCTGAGGAGTGGTTCAGGTAATGAAAAATGGTGGCTGAGTTTATTTGAAACCTTTTCTTAATGTTTGTTTTTTTATTGAGAGAGAGACAGAGACAAAGACAGAGAGCAGGGGAGGGGCAGAGAGAGAGGGAGAGAGAGAATCCTAGGCAAGTTCCACACTGACAGCCCAAAGCCTGATGTGGGGCTTGAATTCACAAACTGGGAGATCATGACCTGAGCCAAAATCAAGAGTTGGATACTTAACTGACTGAGCCACCCAGGTGCCCCTATATTAAAGGGGATCTTAATCTATCCTGTCACACAATCTCTTGAGAATTCTATGGTATTTTTGAAGGTGAAGTTTGAGGGGGCACACACACACACACACACATATATATAAAATAATATATATATTATATATTATTTTCCATGTCTATCCCGTGAGTCTCATAGTTAGCACTTCTCTAAATGTGCAAGAGAAATTAGGATCCAAGGGCGTCTGGGTGGCTCAGGTCCAGATCTCACAGTTCATGGGTTTGGGCCCGAAGTGGGCTCTGTCCTGACAGCCTGCTTTGGATTCTGTGTCGCCTCTCTCTCTGCCCCTCCCGTACTCTGTCTTTCTCTCTTTCTCAAAAATAAATAAATAAATAATAAACATTAAAAAAAGAGAAATTAGGATCTGTATGCAGTAAGTATTGGGAAGGATCTAGAGGGTGATCCCCCTCTCTCAGTTTACATTGAAATCTAAGAAGATAGTCCATCACCCTTTTCAGCAAAGAGTCCCCTGAGGTCCCTTCATAATTCATTCTGTATATCTGTATATTGACTGAACTCCCATTGCTGAAGAAAATGATGTCATGTCAAATAGCTTCAATTAATAGAAGGCATTTCTGGGGTGCCTGGATGGTTCCATCCATCATGGGTCTGACTTTGGCTTAGGTCATGATCTCACCATTCATGAGTTCTAGTCCCTGATCGAGTGAGTCTCTGCTGTCAGCACAGAGCCCGCATCAGATCCTCTGTTCCCCCGTCTCTCTGGCCCTCCCCAGTTTGTGCTCTCTCTCAAAAGTAAAAATACACATTGAAAAAAAATAGAGGGCAGTTGTTCCATAGTCTTTTAAATATTTCATATGTCTTTTACCTTCAAAAAACCGTATGAAAATATTATTAGCCTCATTTAACAGATAGAAAACAGTGTTATAGAGACTTTTGGAGCTTTCCCATTATGCAGCATGACATTGTGAGAACTAAATTAAAAACTAAGTCAGAAAATTCTGTGTTCAAGGCTTTCCTAGCCCTGTCACTTCTTGGGGCAAGTTACTGTCTTTCTATCCGAGTAAAGTCCACGTTTGATTGTAACTCTGTCTGTCCTTCTGTTTGTCTGCCTGTGAGTAGTTTATCTTTTAATCCATCAATTTATCTCCTTGCTAGTTTTCTAATACACCATAAGTTAACCAGTGTTGATAAGATTTCACCCTTACTGTGAGAGCTACTTGAGCAGATTGAGATGGTTGTCATATTTTTCAAATATTACATGTAGCTAACAGTGCTGCTACTGTTTAAGTACCATGATTTCATTCTTATCTGGAAATTGTACACATGCCACACCTTCTGTCATGAGGGGACCGCCCCCTCTTATTAGTGCTTTTGATATTTACACTGTCTCTTGGGAGGATGTTGGATCATTTGTTTATGTCACTCTTGAAGTTATAACAACTGCCTTTTTGTTCAGATGTGTCTTTTCTCACAGGTATATTTAGTGTGTTTCCCAAGCCTGACTTCCAAGAAACTGAAATCACTGGCTCACTGGAAGATGTTTAAATGTCTTGGAAGAAAATGCTGGAATAATCCTGGAATAAGCGTGGTTTTCCATCATTGTCCTTATCTGAGTGTAAATGTACTTTTTTCTTGTGAAGTCACATATGGCAACATTTTTTTTTTTTTGCTGGAATATGTGAAAGAGCCCCTTTCTTGAATGCAATTTATGAATGAAAGCAATAGGATTTCTTAGTTATTTTCTTTTTTGACATTTGTTTTCCTTATTCTCCCCTGAAGTATCTAGTCTTTTTTTTCAAAGATGCAATTACAGAGAATATTTTGTATTCTCTTCCTTTCCCACAGGAGAGCAACTGCAAGTTGTAGGAGTTAAAACTGTATTCTTATAGTTCTTTATTCTTTTTGGCCAGAGTTGACAACTCCTCCCTCTTTTCCCAAAACATTAATGTCATTCCACTGGTTTCTGATTTACGAAAATCAAATAGGATCTACCAAAGTAATGTTTTTCTCTTGAAATATTTACGTATTGTCTTAAGTGTTAGAAAGGGCACACAGATCATAGATGCTTTCCTTGTTCTCCATCTTCTCCAAGTATACAGGAATGTGTTGAGCAGAGAGAGAAAAAAATCAAGAAAGGAAAAAGAATGAATGAATTAAAATGAGAACAAAAAGCAGAGTCAGGGTCTAGGATTGTGGTTCAACCAGATGATTTAGTTAATTTAATAAATTTGTTTTGTGGTCATTTGTTAAGCTGAATTCTGGAGGATGGAAACATTATTTCTAGATCTTTAGGGGCATAAGCTGAGTTAAAAAAAACAACTAGCCAAATCTTTTAATTATATGGAAATGATCACACAGAAAAGCAAAGAAGAGGGGGATGGCTATAGTGATGTGCACGTTTGGGGGAATGAGAGAACTCTAGAGAGTAGGACGGGTTGCAGATTAATTTTAGGAGACTGTTTTTTGAGTCATTTGTTTCCCACATTGAAGGTAAACAGTCTTGCGTTTTTAAATTGAAATTTACTTCTAACTACAGGTTCAGTTAACTTCTCATCTCCCCAATCATTTTGTTATAATCATTTGTATCGTAAGAGACTCTGTGATTTGGCTCAAACGTCGCTATCTCAGTTTTTCCTTTAAACGTATCTTTTGGAGGTTAGCAAAAACTGGGAAAGTACATGATTTCCAGGTCCCTCCAAGGATTATTTCATTGAAAAGCTACAAGCCAACCAGTGAGCCTTATCCTGACCTCAGAGGGCTCCCAGGATTTGAAGGAATGCAGGGATGAGAGTTTAGATCAGGTTTAAGGCTGCTCTCACTTGGCTTTAGCACCAAACCAGCAGACTGGAGTCTCCCACAGGTAAGGGTATCTGTGAGAGTTCCTCAAAAGAGGATACATCCCAGAAGTTTCAAGTTTGGGGGTCTTATAGCCCATAAGGAATGAGGGGTCTGCCAGGACCGAGGAACTTGAGCCATAGTACTGTGGTAGAAGCCATGGGGCCCTCAAATTATCCCTCTAGTACCATATGCAAGAGTCCTTACTGCCCCCTAGGAACTTACTTCTGTATTCTGCTTATTATTGGATCATTGGCCTCTGCCCACCTGGCTAGGAGCTAGAGATAGTGAAGGACAAAGACATCGTATGTGGGGTTGAGGAGTAGAGAGAAAACAACAAACATCAACATTTCTTCATGAAATGAAAAAAAATTAGTGATCTCTAAAATAGGAGGAATTACTGATCTGGATAAAATTCATTGATTTTAAATGATTTATTATGTCTGATTTCCTACCTCACATTATAAACAGATATCTGAAAACTATGAAATTGATGTAAATTAGAGCTTCAGAACAACTGATACCCAAGGGTCTGGGGTCTGTGATACAACAGCCACTTTTTTTTTTTTTTTTTTTACAATTAGGTGTTAGTTGATAAACATTTCTCTTGAACTGAAAAATATCTCATTGTTTTGGAAGTCATTTATTGTGGTTCTCATTATTATTTTCTTTCTTTTTCTTTAAAATTTTTAAAAATATTTATTTTTGGGAAGGAGAGAGACTGAGAGAGAGGGAGGGAGGGAGGGAGGGAGGGGCAGAGAGCGAGAGAAAGACACAAAATCTGAAGCAAGCTCCAGGCTCTGGGCTGTCAGCACAGCTCAAACTCACAAACCTTGAGATCATGACCTGAGCTGAAGTCTGACACTCAACTGAAGTCGGACTCTTAACCGACTGAGTCACCAGGCACCCCCATTTTTATTGTCAACTATAGCTTTTTTATAGAGGTTTTAATTCCTGCCAGATTTTTATTCTTTATATTTAAGCTTATACTTACTAAGACAAAACTTGTAACAAACAAGTTGTCATAAGCTAACTCAGAGCTATCTACTTGGAAGTAAAATGACTAAACTTTATGATAGTGCTTTGTTTCATTTGATTTTTCACCCTTTTTAATTAAGAGGAGTTTAAAAGAATCACATAATTAGGAGTATATTCTCTCTGTCTACATTCTGTTTTCCACATATAGAGAAACTAATATATATTTAAATATTCCTAGTAGGAGGTCCATGTAAAGCATTATTATATAGGTCACCCTGTATAAATGTATGGATAAATATTTATGCACATATATACTATGCTATGTACCCACATTTCCTGTAAGTCCTATCTGCTTATAATTTTAACTACAAAAACAAATAAAAATGGGATAAGTAATAACCAAAATGGGAAAACTCTCTTACATATAGAACTGAAATATAAATTCTTTAAACCCTCCTAATTTGTTTATCAAAGATGTCTCATTCTCTAGTGAGCTCCCAAAGTCCTTAAGCTCTAGCACAAAGTTTAACTGCACACTACATTTGATATAGGATAATGCTTAACATTTAAAAATAACGCTTTATATTTTTGCAAAGCAATCTCTGAAGTGTTGTTGAATTGTAACAGAACAAGCAATTCAGTTCAGACTCTCCCTGCCTCTCCTATACCTAATCTTCTCATTCATAGAGGTGATTTTCCTGTAATAGTAATAGCCAGTTAGAATATATTTAATAAAGGATTGACTCTTAATTTAAATAAGAGCAAAGTCCCCCTGGTGAGATTCTTAGTAAGGGTTATGAGGTAGCTTTTTATTTTTTCTCCCTAAGAACATCTTGGCACAGTTATGCATAATTAAAAAAGTATATGGCTTTATCTGAAGCTGACTCTTCTTTGGAATAATGTTGGTAAGAGTTAATGAAAACCTCTTTGTCTCAGACCAATTAAAAAAAATAAGTGACATGGTCTTAGTAGCATAAAATGACGTGTTGGAAAATTTTTAGATGACGTATCATGTGCTAATTCCAGTTCCTAGATTGTTTTGGCCCTGGAAAGGTAAAAGTAATCCCTTTTCGTTCATCCTAATACTCTGTGTCTAAAGGTCTGGCTAATTATGTTACTGTATTGAAACTGTATTGAAAATACAACAAATTTAGAATTTATGGAAAAATATTTTTCTCATTATGAATATAATAATCCACATGAACATTAACTGGCCTGGATTATATTCGGTATCGTTTGCCCCTTGCTTTTTAAATGTATTTATATGAAAAGAAACAAGAAATCTGATTTGTTGTACTCTTTTTTTTTTTTTTTTAATGTTTTATTTATTTCTAGGAGAGAGAGAGACAGCATGAGCAGGGGAGGGTCAGAGAGAGAGGAAGACACAGGAGGGTCAGAGAGAGAGGGAGACACAGACTGAAACAGGCTCTAGGCTCTGAGCTGGCAGTCAGCACAGAGCCCGACGCGGAGCTCGAACCCACAAACCGCGAGATCATGACCTGAGCGAAAGTCGGACGCTTAACCGACGAAGCCACCCAGGCGCCCCTTTTTTTTTTTTTAACCGTTTGGGTAGGATAGACTTTGTATAGAACAGCTGGATTTTGTGGGGGGGGGGCGTGTTGATTTTAGCATCGCTGAGAGATTCTGGTGATTGTTTTAGTTAGTGCAATAGCCTATTTATTGATGTGTTGAGGCCTCTTCCTTTTCCTGGCAAAAAGAAGGCCTTCAGCAGTGTTTGCTGAGTGAAAGAGTCGCTGTGATAACACTACATTTGTCTGTTTTCTAACAGTGTGCAAGCTGAGCTCTACAACATATGTGGAATTTTCTATAGAATCATAAGTGTTCTTTTTCTGTAGGATACCAGTGTTCTTTTCTGGTGTGCTCTAAGGGGCATCGTTATACAACCTCTCATTTTAGTATTTTCTTTGATGAGGTGGAGTGGGGTGAGGTCCTAAAATAGTGTACTACTCCATTTATGTTCCCCTTTTTCTTCTTGTTCTTCTGATGGAATAGAGTAGGTCGAATGGTGGAACCCTAAAATATGTGTCTACATCCTAATCCCTGGAACCTGTGAAGGTCAATTTCTTTGGAAAAAAGGGTCTTTGCAGATGCAATTAAGTTAAACATCTTTTAAAAAATCTTTAATGTTTATTTGTTTTTGAGAGGGAGAGACACAGAGCCTGCGCGGGGGAGGGGCAGAGAGCGAGTGAGACGCAGTGTCCGAAGCAGGCTCCGGGCTCTGAGCTGTCAGCACAGAGGCTGACGTGGGACTCGAACTCACAGACCGTGAGATCATGACCTGAGCTGCCCAGGCTCCCCTTACATTAAAAATCTTGAGATGATGAAATCATCCAGGATTATCTGGGCAGGTCTTAAATCTAATAAAGTGGTTTTATCAGAAAGGCAGAAAATTATTTGAGACTGAATGAAAAGGAGAGACATAGAGGAGAATTTTATGTGAAGACAATGTGAACGTAGAGGCAGAGATTGGATGGTGTGACCAGAAGCCAAGGAAGCAAAGGAATGCCAACAGCTATCAGAAGCTGGAGGAGGCAAGGAAGGATCCTCCCCCAGAGGCTCTGGAGGGGGTGTGGCCTTGCCAGCACTTTGCTTTCTGACTTCTGGCTTCCAAAACCAGGAGAGAGTAAATTTCTGTTTAACATAAACTGTTATCCAGTTTGTAATAAATTGTTACAACAGCCACGGGAAAGTAATACATTAGGGGGAAGAACTGATATTATAGAACTGATGTTATGTATAAATAATATCACAGAACAGATGTCCTTTCTATGATTCCCGACTTCACAGACTCTCATGGGAAGTGGGTGGTGGCACTCTCATGCTGGTGGCAGTGGACAGTTGAAGAGCTTCAGGGACAGAGGAGTGTCCTTGTTCTGACAGAGATGGGCAATAATGGCCTTCTGGCAAATGACAGGGCTTTTATAAGAAAACTCCGCCCCTCAAAAGGCTTGGGGACATCGAGTCA